GTCACAACTTGTTTTACAAGCTTGCTACAAGACTGTTGAGGAGACATCTTGTTGACAGGTTGTTGAAACAGCATTGTCACAACTTGTTAACAAGCTTGCTACAAGCCTGTTGAGGAGATATCTTGTTGACAAGTTGTTGGAACAGCATTGCCACAACTTGTTAACAAGCTTGCTACAAGCCTGTTGAGGAGACATCTTGTTGACAAGTTGTTGGAACAGCATTGTCAGAATTTCGAGAGGTGTAACTTAACACAAAATATAAATTTTTGATAGTACATGTACTTGATTCAAATTTTGTTTTCGTGGGCCAAAGCTAGATCTAAGGCAGTATAACATCGCCATATAGAGGAGTGAGAGAACGGGTCGACACAGTGTCCTTTTAATTGATGCCACCTACCTAGGTACCCCATTGGCCATTGTCAGATCGCAAGTGAATTTTATTCAGGGCAACTAATTTTCATGGCCAATTTGTCCTGAGGGCAAGTGGTCAAAAAAGTACAGTTATAGACCAATTGCGAAACTTAGTGACCGCGCCTTCATACTGCACGAGAACGAGGCTTATTATGCAAAAACAAATCATTCTGCTATATTTTTATATGGAGAAAAATGAATTTCAGTGTTTGAGACGCGTTTTTATGGTAATCTCTTCATTTGTTTTCAATATTTTTGTTTTGACTATGTAAATCTTTATTAAACTTGTTCATAGATTTAGTCTTACTTCAAATTTCATTGTTTTTCGCGGCGTGCGAGGCAAAGTTTTGCTGTTTTTGGCCGCCCGATAAAAGAAGCAGATTATACCAGAGAAAGAATCAGGTATTTTCCGTCTGTTTTATTATTACATTTCAAAGAATAAGTTGTAACGTTGATTAATTTTGTTTCAGTTGTAATATAATAGCAAGTTTTCGATTTTAACTTTAAAAATATGAAAGTAAATGTCGGGCAAAATTTGTAGAAATTTTATGTTATTATTCTTTGACAAAATCGTTTTTTCTCGCACAAGTCTAAAAAAATCTGGGTAGAAAGAGTTATATTTTAGTTTGTTAAGTTATACTGGCTATTTTATTTGCATGTTGATCAGATTTTAAAGTCTAGATTGATCTTTTCCATATGTTTGTTCTATCGCATGCTAAAACAACAACGAAATATCTTTCCAAAGCGAGTAAAAATATAGTAGGAAATCGATGTTTAGATAAATTTAACAAATATTTATATAACCTAGCACGAAATATTAAGAAAAGATCAAAGAGTTCAAGAAAAAACACTTTAAAAACCCTAAAATTCACTTTTCGCTATATAAAAATATAGAAATTGTTTTGTTTTTGCATAATAAGCCTCGTTCTCGTGCAGTATGAAGGCGCGGCCACTAAGTTTCGCAATTGGTCTATGCCGCTGATTTGATAAGAATGGGGCCAAAAAAAAATATGTGGGATTCCGGTTTCTTCTTATAAAAACTTAAGTAGGGTAGGTTGGTTTTAACTTTTTTTTTAATTTTCCGAACAAGCAGATGCCATTTTGTTTAGTCAGTGCTTCCACATCCGAAGATAAGTTTCCCTAATATTGCCTCAAATTTCAATTTTCCACAATCTTTTTCCTCTAAGTGGAAACACTTACAAGCATGATCCAATAAAAAAGTTTAGGGTCGGGATTTCGACGTCCAAAAGCTAGGTAGGGTCAGGAAATCGGAAAACCACATTTTTTTTTGCCTGGTAGACCAAGAACAGCAAAAAACTACAGTCTGTGAAAAACATCAAATCGGTTCAACAATCTCTCACACAAAATGGGCAAATATCTGCACTTTCTGGACTGATGAACAAATATTTTTCTCTGAAAAATGAACATGTACATTCTGACTGTAGTGCATCTAAACACAGGTTATTTTTGTATTAAAATCAGTTTAATTGGCTGTTTTTAGCTAATTCTAGACATTTCCAAAAATATTTTCTCAAGTTTAAAGGGGCCCTACAGTCATTTTCTAGTCGAAAAGCCATTGTTTACATTTTTCGTTATTGTTGCTACTTGACATGCGCATCACGGCATGCATGCGTCTTCCTGTGTGCGGAAGTACTCATACTCGTGGATACTGCATGTAAGATACAGCCAAACGAATCTCTGTGGAGTCCCTTACTAAAGATGGCTTTTCGACTAAAAAATGACTGTAGGGCCCCTTTAATTAAACACAGCTATCTCAGTCAATATTGCATGCAAATCCGCACAACATATGTCAAAATTTAAGTTAGACATCACTGAATGCATTTCTTTGATTTTCTAGGGGCCATTCACAAAATATGTGTTGTGATGCTCTATTTGCCAATTTTTATCTCTCCCTACCCCCAAAACCTGAAAACCATGAAACCTGAGACTAAAATCAGTTTCCCACTCAGGTTCCCGCTGGTTCATTGAATAAACGGCAGTGCCATATTCCATGGCAATGTCAGGAGGGGTTTTTTGATAGAAAACATTGATTTGTCATCTAAGGGACATAATTATATATTTACAAGCAACGTGTTGTTTTGTTATAGATAGGGATAAATGTTCCCCAATATGGCTCTCCGTCATGTGATACCGCTTGTGATACCCCTCCCCCCTCTTGTGACACTGAGTGACTCCTGACCAAACACTCCCTACCTCCATGGGCATCACATATTTTGTGAATGGCCCTTTATACTAAATCAAACAGACTCTAAACCCTAAACATGAAGAGCGCAATGGCAACACGCAATGTTTGCGAAACACTTAATTGTCATAATCCTTGTGCATACAGTCAAGATTTATGATGGAGAACGTTCCCATTGCACTTGCCACTTCCTGTGCTATAAAGAGTTTAACTGCTTAAGGTTGTTAAAGTCTAAGGTCCAAAACCGCAAATGTTCTAGAGCTATGCCAATTCAAATTAAATTTCATGCACGGACAAAAATTCAGCTGAAATTACTGTCTGAAAATTCGGCGAAACTTTTAATACAGTCAGGCTGCAACACGTGTGCATATTAAACACGAGAAATCAGATTTTTCTTACGTTCCAAAACGCTGACATTTTCATATCGTAATTTCTACTAAGCAAATTCATATTCTAAAGTTTAAAAGAAGCAAAAATTCCATCGAAACAAAGATCAGCATACTTACAAAGGTGTTATCCTCAATAGATCGCTCTCCTCTGCAGATTCCGCCATCTTGTTTGTGTTTGAATCAAGTATTTTTCGACGTAATCACGTGATAAGTTTTCGGTGTAGTGATTGGTTGACCTTTGCAGAATCTTGAAGCTGATTGGTTCAAAACGCAAAGCGCACGGGTCAGGGAGATTGCTCAGAATTAACTTTGTTCCGGGGGGGTTGCCACCTTTGAAAAATTTCCCTAAATCCAGAATCCTTTAGTGCTGAGAAAGTTACATAATTTTTGTTACAAACTTTCTACAGTTTATACAAAGTTACCCTAAAAAATTTGTAACCAGTTATTTATGACGAAATTATGTCAAACATATTATGTGACTTCCTTGAACATGGCCGTACTAGGTTGCTAGTGTTGTCCTTCAAACTCCTATGTCAAACTACTACTTTCCAATTATCTTTCTTTTTAACCGCATAGTCAAACCCTGGAACAGAGTGTAAGGATGTTGTTCCTGACTTTCTCCAGTCCTATTACTTTTGCAATCTTTCTTCAGCGGAACTATTCTTATCTTCTTCAGACAGTCTATGATGATTTGTCCTGTACGTGGTCCTTAGCACGGGACTGTCCTTGCCACGGGACATAGCTGTCTGTTTGCATGTCTATGTCTGTCTTATTTGTCTTTCCACATGTCTTCCACTTACGGAATTTTTAACAGTACACGAGTATATATACCCTGGTTCCAGAGGCTGTTTGCGAGGCGAAAGAAACGAGAACGAAGTGGATTAGCTTACAGTAATGTTTGTTTCCCAAATCGGTTTGACATATTTTTACAAATGGCCAAACACATGCGAAATTCAAATTCTGAACCTAATCAAGGCAATCAAGTGTGGAGTGGGATTTGCAATCGATGTGACCAGAGGCTCTCCGTTCTCGCATTTCGTTTCTTTCGCCTCGCAAAGAGCCTCTGGAACCAGGGTAGAGTATATAGTAATATGTGCACGCAAAATCTAAATTCTTGGCAGGTGCTTTGCCAACCACGTTAAGGGACAGACCCTGGGAACTAGGTTGGTGCCTTGCATGGGTCGTTTTTCGAGAGTCTGATTCGTACCTTGCCTTTTTGGATCTTCAAGTTATTAATTCTTATGTAACTGTATTGATAATATATTCCATGTACAGTATTATTGATCCAAATAAATTTGTAGTTGTAAAATTAAATAATGTCAAGCAATAGCACGAGTCAGACTACCATTTATGGATCGAGTTATGTCAATTGTGAACACGAAGTAAATCAGACGAAACAATTGTTTAATTTAACCAGAAAAAGAATTTTCAAACATTGAGCAGCATTGTAGTGTGAAAACTTAAAACACTGCGCAACAGAACAACAGCCTTTCGCATGTTGCATTTGTGTGCACCACGAGTGTTCAGTTTAGTTCAATAAAAATCTGGCACAGTGAACTTTCGCCATCTATGCCACTGCAACGGCATAATGAAAATATTCGAACCAGTGCGTGCACAGTTGAGCGACAATCCTGCGTGGCCGAAATTTAGGATAAAACAGCTTCTTAGTAAGTTGGACGTCGCTGAAAGTAACCGCTCTCGCGAGGCCAGAATGTAACTAGTTAACGTTCCATTTTGTCAATTTGTGTAACTAGTTGCAGGCAAACGACGTCATAAATATGAAGTTTTCTTATAACTAATTTTGGCGGGAATTTTGCATCAGCGCTCGTGCAAGGAACTAAGCAAAACACTTTAAAAATCTCATGTTTTGTCATATGTGTTGAAGATTACCACAAACTCATACAAACACAGTTTTTAATCCAGTCCCCTTTGAGAAAGAAACTCACACACACAACCGACACAACAGATTGATGCGAACAGATAATTTTATATTTATGGCCAATTATTACGTCAGAAATTAAAGCTCTCTGTAAAATTATTTCATAATGGTGTGTAATTCAATGTAATATGTCAATTTCTATTCCATCATCATCATCAACATTATCGCCATTATTATATTGATTAATTTGTTGTAGGTTTGTTTTAGATATCGAGATCACCTAAAAGAAAATGAAATAGTTCAACAATAGTTGAATATGTGCTACGCACGAAACAATTATTTCAAAAAGTCAACTATTGTCTTAATCAAGAGGGAATATAATAAAGCAACATGCACATAAACAAACATGCAAATGGAACAAACAGATAATGAACTAAATTTAGGGAGCTATAGATTAAACTACAACTCTGCAGTATATAGCTGCAGAATATATCAGTTTTATCTTTATGTTCTTCCTAGAAGTCCAGTAAGGATTATCTCTTATTGATCCAGTGTTACTAGAGTAGGAAGCCTAAATTAAACTGACTTTATTTTATTTTATTTTATATTGGATAGCTCTATCAGTTCTAAACTGGTCTCCCTCAGGGCGCTGTGCCCAGTTTTATTTTTGTAGAGGCAGCCAATTTTCCAATGGTATTATGGTAGCAACGACTGCTTGACTCACCTTTGTTAGAAAACGCCAGTTTTCCCTCTCTTGCAACTTGTTACTGAAATCTGATAAACAATTCTTTACGTAAACGAACATGGCTATGAAAACACGTTTGCAAATTCTTCAATCTATAATCTCAACAAAGGGCACGCAGATCTAGTTCAGCTGGGTTTCCAAGTTAGCTGGGCTCATATATAAACACACCTTTGGATATTATTGGCAAAATAATTATTACTAAGATTTAAAAAGATCAAAACCTACTTAGCACAGCAGCAGGGTTGGAATCCACTCGTAAAATGACAGTCAATACACCATCAGCATACATGTCATTCACTGCATTGGCTACCCACAAAAATAACAAAGAATTAACCATTATTATGATATGGCAAGCATCACTTCCGGTGAAATGGCGGATTGTGATTGGCTGAGAAGCACTTTTACCGGTCATTATTTTCCCGTAATGACCGGCGGTCATTACGTAAAAACAAACGCATGCATTTATAAACAAAACAGCAAAACTAAAATTAAAAAAAACAACTAAAATTTTAAAATTTTAATTTTTATTTTAAATTTTTTTAATTTTAATTTTAAACTAGTTGAAAATTTGAAAATTATAATTTAATTTGTTATTAATAAGATATCTGCGAATAGTTTTTAGTGGAAAGAAGGAATACATTGGTATTTTTTGTTTTCTTCGACCAAATGTTACCATGCAAGCAACTAATATGCATTTAAAATCATGCATTTCTTGTTTGTTTCGAGTATAAATGCCATATAATAAACTTTTTATTGACCTCGCTTGCTCAGTATGTACAGAGAAACATCGGACCTCGGTCTTTTTGTACAAACCTCGCCCTAGGGGCTTGGTCTTTACAAAAAGATCTCTGTCCGACATTTATCTGTACAGATCTCGCGTTCGGTTAGTAAGAAGTTAATATAATCTTTAACGGAAAAAATCGTCTGGCGTTAAATAACACAATTAATCAGAAGATGATCCTTACTGGACCTCCAGGAAGAACAGTTCAGAAGTGATAGAGCCATCCGGTATAAATAAAGTTAGTTTAGTTTAGGTTTCTCCTGTAGTAACACTGGATTAATAAAAGATGATTCTTACTGGACCTCTAGGAAGAACAGTTTAAAATTGATAAGGCTATCCAGTATAAATAAAGTTAGTTTAGTTTAGGTTTCCTCCAGTGGTAACACTGGATCAATAAGAGAGGACGATTACTGGACCTCTAAAGACAAGAATTAAGAACTGATAGAGGTATCTAGGGCTTTACAGGACTCTTAGGAAGAACTGTTTTAGCGGCACAGAAAAATAGACTTACTTGGCAGGTCACCAGGGGCAATCAAATGATAATTATTAAAACCATGTTTGATGAGTAAACCTGAAAGTTTCTTCCCATGTGAAAGCATTTCTGACGCCAATGAACCCATCACCTACAAACGAAAGCTTTCTGTTGTCTTTTCATTCAGTTTCTTTTTTAATCCTACTGTTCTCCATGCTATACAGTCATGATCCAGTAATCAGAATGTCCCATTGTCTTTTGATTGTTTTGAAACTTCCGGAACCCCTAAATTTCCGGTTCTTTGTCGGCATGCACGATTGACAAACGTTAAACCAATCACAGCACAGGAAAAATTCAATTTCCCCACACCCAATGCCATCCTAGCCCGCGCATAGGCATTGCTTTGGGTACGAGATTGCATGAGCGGTGAAACATTTCAGTTTCCAACGGTAAACGCCCCGTTTCAAACGTAAACAAACGCGCGAAAATGTTTGCGGTTTGTGCTTGGATGCAAATTGCTGTAGCTCACGACCTTTCTCAACGGCCAGTTTACTGATAATAGTTTATACCTGTAAACAACATATAAATCATAAGTATTCTCTCAACTCCGCGTATTTTCAGTCCTAAAATGTTGTATTTCGGCAGATGAATGGCAAACAATTGTGGTGAATAATAAAACGTTAGACCTCATTAATTATTAAAATGTAAACGAAACCCAGCACCGATCCTTCCCTTGGAAGTTCGAGTAAGCGGGTTTTACAGTATTTCAACAGTACAAGAAACAACATTCAAAAAGGATGTATAAGGTGTTGGTCCTGTAGACCCGATAGATATTAATGGACGAGAAAGTTCGACAACACAAACGTTCTATCAAGCAAATAACAAAGAATTAAAAATGTGCAAATATTTGCGATATCCCGTCTAGTTAATAATTAAAACACACCATGTACAAGCTAGTTACATCAGATACACTACGTATTCATAATACTTCGAAATTTCACAGTATAGCTGGTTATCTTTCGTGAGTAAATGTGCTTGGGCATATTGTCTATTTAGTTTAAGTTCAGTATCGCTTTGTTGCTTGAGAATAGCAGTTCAATATGTCTTCAATCGTGACGAGTATTCTAAGTTCAACCGTGGGTTTGTTGTGGAACAAGGCTCGTGACTCGACTGCGGCTAAGCTGAAGGACGGTGACATTACAGATGAAAAAATTCGAGAGATTGTCGTACGAGACTTGAACGACATCAAGACAAAGCTCGATGGTCTCGCACGTAAAGATCTTCTCAGCAGCTACAATTTCCTACAGGAAGGTGTGGATTTCCTCAATGCCTCTCTTCAAAAATCAAAGCTCGACCAGAAAGCTTTGGCGAACGAAACTCTAGATGATCGAGGCGAGACATCAACAATGCCGAGTTGTGGTCAGTCTGGGATCTTAAGCGAAGCTATTGAACTTTCTCAAGCCATGGGAAAGCTAAAATGTAACTCAGACGAAAAGTATGAATCCGCCAAAGAACGATTCAAAAAGGCCCGTGAGAGAGCAACCGATGCTTTCTCTACTGAAACATTAGTTCTCAAAGATAAGATCTTCGCAGCGAAGCTACGAATAGTGTCCGAAATGCTCGAATGTCTTGATCGTCCCGAAACCGCAATAACGGGATGTCTGTCGTTTTTGAAAAAGTTCCATAGCTTACCTGCAATCCAAGAGATATTCACGGTGTACCTCAACGGAGGAATAAAGTCGATGTTGAATAAGAGCGAACGAGTCGAGAACGTAAAATCAGTAATGTTGATTAATTACGTGTTATTTCAATATGTGTCGAAATTCAGCAGTAAATATTCATTTGACTTGCTCCTCAGCATGCCAACAATTGAACTTCCTGATCGCAGTTTTTCCCCAATGTTAGATTGGCAGGAGGTTGCGACAAGAAAGTCTATGGGGAAAGAACTGACCCAATATCCTAGTAAACGGACACTAATTGATGAAGAAATTCGTCCGCTTGTATGTGCTGTGAACAGTCATGGGGACATTATTACTGTTTCTTATTCTGACGAGATCCTGGTTATTTTTTTTAAGACAGGTGAATGCAAGGTGGTTCAATTACCAGAGCCCAGAGAAGGTAAAGTTATCGAGCAACGCAATATTAAAGGAATTGCTGTTGATAACAACAGCGATGTTTACGTTGTTGTACGGCTTACAAATGGGGATGTGAAAAATTTCGTGTTGCATGTATTAGACGAGAACTACCATGTAAAACACGACTCATGCACGTTGGATTTTATGGACGCAAATTTTGTGTGTCGGGTGAGCATCGCTATAAACAAAAACAATAATATCATCATGATCAAAGGAAGAGATCCCCACGTGTATATATGTGACAACACTGGGAAGTTGCAACACAAGTTTGAACATGACTCAAGTGGGCGACCCAGCTTGGGTATTTCCGAGCAGGATAAAATCATCACATCATCAGGCGATCTCGAGGCTATGGTCACATTCTCCGAGGAAGGAAATCTGAAGTCGACAGTGAAACTACCAGAAGGTCACAAGATCTTTGGAGTAGCGTATCACTACGTCATTCGTAAAATAATTGTTTTAACCCGTGTCGAGAAAAACAATTCCTACTTCCTGCTGTGTTACACTGAAGCAGGCGATCTGGAGACCTCGACGTTCTTCTGTAAGGATATTGACGATGAATTTATAAAAATCACGTCCCATCCACGTGGTTCAGTTGCTGTTGTTAGGGAGAAAAGCATCACCTTCATTTAAGGGAACTGTCTATGTTTGTACATGCAGTGTGAACAAAACTTCTTCGAAAAACTTACATGACACACTTAAGTAATGATTCTAAACTTATTAACTATAATATATGCTAATTGTAAACTGAGCTCACTGTGAGGTTTTAGTAAAATCTGTGATGCTGATGGTGGATCTGTGAGAGTTGGCAACTATGCCCTATATACATGTATCGTAATTTATATATTCTTCACCATTTATTGAGTCAACGGCTGTTCCAATGTACATGTTTATGTTGAAATCAGTTTAATAAATGGTGTTGTGTTGGAGTTTACTACAGTTCTACGGCTCTGTATTTTTATCTGTAGGTTTTATGGTACAACAGGGTCATGCGGGGCAGGTATTTATATTGTACAAAAATGTTTGCCCCGCCCCCCTTTTTTCATGCACGAAAATACCTGAGCCCCTCATTTTCCACCAGCCCCCCCCCGCAATTAATGACCGGTCCCTTAGTTCGAAGGTAAGGGCGATCCATAAATGAAAAGAGAAATTAAAATCACACAGCTACATACTGCACGAAAGGTAAAAAGTACACGTTCTGAGCACTGAACAACACGCAACTTAACATAAGAAAGACAAAATACCTGTTCGTTATGAAATAGACCACTTCGTTTTTCTTTCAATAATTGCTTATACACGCGTGATAACAACGCATTCTATTCTTTATCAGCCTTCACTTTACCTCTGTGGTGATTTAAATCTTTTCTCTAGATCAAGTAGAGAATCAAATATTATACCTCAAATTTCAAGTGTCCAATCAGAAAGCTAAGTTTGTGCCACGTGAGCATGAAATTTATCATCGAATCACGTCTTACGTCATCGTACTTGACGTAGCGGGTGATTTTCGTTAGCAAAGTCTGCTTGACTCACCTTTGTTTGAAAACGCCAGTTTCCCCTCTCTTGCAACTTGTTACTGAAATATGATAATTCTTTACGTAAACGAACATGGCTATGAAAACACGTTTGCAAATTCTTCAATTTAGAATTGGTTAATTGGGCCAGAAAATCTCAACAAAGGGCACGCAGATCTAGTTCAGCTGGGTTTCCAAGTTAGCTGCGCTCATATATGAACACATCTTTGGATATTATTGGCAAAATAATTATTACTAACATTTAAAAATATTAAAACCTACTTTGCACAGCAGCAGGGTTGGAATCCAAATGACAGTCAATACAGCATCAGCATACATGTCATTCACTGCATTGGCTACCACTAAAATAACAAAGAAATAAACATTATTATTATATGGCAAGCATCACTTCCGGTGAAATGGCGGATTGTGATTGGCTGAGAAGCACTTTGATTGGTTTACTATTTTCCCGTAATGACCAGCGGTCCATTACGTAAAAACAAAACGCCTGCATTTTTAAACAAAACAATAAAAGTAATTGAAAGCAAATTGCGGCAGTTGGTACGCTTCACCAGTGTGGTCAGCAGTAACTAAAAACCAGTCCGACATTATTGAATCGATTCAGAAAGGAGCTTTGTGCATCATTCTTTCTGAAATATTATACCTCAAATTCAAAGTGTCCAATCAGAAAGCTAAGTTTTTGCCACGTGAGCATGAAATTTATCATCGAATCACGTCTTACGTCATCGTATTTGACGTAGTTGGTGATTTGATCATATCACATGGGTAATATTTCGCCGAATCCCCCGAGCGGAGGGTCGACTTAAATGATAAATGTTGTATCACAATGCATTGGATCATACAGGATTGGAGATGTTAAGCGCACGGAGACACAATTCTTGTGAACAATTCAATTCTTGTGAACAATAGTGTAATTAATCCTCATAAGATGCTGTCGCAAGTCAAGTGAACTCAGCCGTAGCTCACATCTATAATCTTAGGTTCGAACCAAATTGTACATGAAAAACAAACACTGAGCAATTTAAAAACAGTAAAATAGAACTATTGATGTATTGTAGATTTAGGTAGTTTTCTTCAATTTTGCTTTCCTATGTAGATCGCTTTTAAATATGGATATTGAGACGTACGATTTCAGATTAGCTGGAAGACTATTCCACAGATTCGCCGACCTAATAAAGAACGAATTTTTAAAGTAGTCTCGTTTATGCTTCAAGAGAAAATTGAAGTTACTTTCGTCGTAATTTATAACCAGATTCGTAGGTACATAAATACTTATTGAAGCTTTATTGACGTCCATAGATGGAAGTCCCATTTTGGATTTGTATAGTAGTTGCCAGTCAGAGATCTCTCGGCGGAATTCTAGTGGAAGGAGATTCGTTTTAGTCAGCCTTTCTGGATATGACATTTCGGAAGTCTGGATATGACAAGTCGGAAGCTTGGTTTTCGGCATGTTGTAAACACAGACTGGACTGGACCCGAAAAACGCGGACTGAATCCATGATTTATATACGATTTATATATGCCTGACTAGCGACAGTGAAAATATCACTGAAGATTAATCGAGTATCGCTTTACAGTTTGGCTTCCTTATCTGTTCATATATATATTCAAAACATTCAAACTCGCGTTCTATAATATCATTCAAATCTAAAACGCTCGGTCGCACCTCGCGTTTTAAATATGATAGAACACTCCTTCTCGTGTTTTAAATAGTTCAAATATATATATTTATTTTAATAGTCCAATTAATATACTTTGTTTACAACGATAACGTAAAATGTGTGGCAGTGTGTTTGTCAACCTTCAAATAATCAAGCTTGCTTTACAGTAGCAATAAGTTTTAAATAAATATTTCAATATTGAAGGCTAATATCAAGATAAAGCAACTCCAACGGCGACGCCCTAGTAATATACATAGTTGGAAACTTACAACGAAGGATGTGGTATTTATAGTCTATGATGACCGCTGTTTTGAATTGACTTACGACTTATTAACATCAGTCGATGACGATTGTTTTAATATATGGACTTCAATGATGGATTCTTGCACTTCACTTCGTGGAATTATATTAGAATGTTAGGGTTTGTAATCCAAGTGAGAATATATACGGCATTTTAAGACCTAACCAGGAACGACTGCGAAAAATGCAGCACAAGGTCCTCTGGTAGGAATTGAACCTACGGCCCTGTGATTCCCGTCAGAAAACTATTAAATAATGAGAAAAAACTGCTGCTTTGACGTTCACTATATTACAACAGTTATGGGAGTATCAACTTCGAATATTATAATGTTGTAAACAAGGCATGACGCTTCTTAAAAATATTTCCACTATCATAATTTATTACATCCATTAGTGGCATTCTCGCCAAGAATATAATTGAAACAATCATCAATCATATAGTCATCAGAAATAGTGAAATACAAAATTTACACTTTGAATGACTTTTCATTATACGCTGTAAATTTCTGCAGCTATGCCTGACGAAAAAACCCACAAGAATTGTAATGAGACGAACGAACTAAAGACAAGTAAAGTCTTGTTTGGATAGGCACAAAAAAAGCTCATTCGCAGTCAAGCGTTTTGCATCCGGTGGTATATGAATTTACTTGTACTGGATATAAAAGTAGACACATCGGTAAAACGGATCCCTGCTACTACACTAGAATCAAAGACCACTCACTGGACAATAAATCGGAAATATTATGATATTTAACCACATCACATCATGCGAACATTTTTAACAAATCAAATCTATTTTAGAACTATATTCTGACGATGAAACTAACCCAACTCCAACTTGTAAGATTACAGACAGATCTGATCATTGGTCCTCTTTACGTTTTAAAGAATCGCTTGGCATTTCGACGTTTTAAACTTGAACTCAATTACGAAACCAAGGCGTCAAAAGACCTCATAAATAGTTAACTAATTCTGCTTTTGTAAATATAATCTCTTCTATATGTTTGTAAAAACAGTATTAAATTATGCGGCAACCTATAGCATTGCTGATAATGACTTATGACTAAAACATAGTCGAAAGCAAGAACTAAAAATGTTAGTCCTTTTCGCAGTGACTTACATACCGTTGTTTTGTATTTTGTAAAAATACTCAGTGGTTCGAGATAAATGTATTAAAATGTGTGTACACGTGATATTTTCCTCTTTCGTCTGCCAATATTGACTGTGTATTGAGCAAGGCTGGTCAAGTGGCAGGGCTAGTCAATGACAGGAAAAACATACTATAGACATTATACTCATACATTCACTATATTCATAATACTTGGAAATTTCACAGTACACCAGAAGTGTATTAAAATGTGTATACGTGATAATATTTTCCTCTTTCGTCTGCCGACTATATTGAGCTAGATTTTCAGTTAAGTTGAAATATATAGTAAAGTACGATTAAAATTCATGGAAATACGAATTTCAAAAGGTTTCAAAAATTTTTTCCAGAAAAAGTATTACAAATTTTCCCCTAATCACACAATTTTTTGTTGTTCTCTTTGGATAAATTTCGCCTTGAAATCGTAGGAAATGGCCATCACGATTTACGGAGCCCCTAGAATGCGTAAAATCTCCACCTTGTCAAGTGACAGGAAGAACATAGACTATATATTCATAATACATCGAAATTTCACAGTATAGCTGGTTATCTTTCGTGAGTAAATGTGCTTGGGCATATTGTCTATTTAGTTTAAGTTCAGTATCGCTTTGTTGTTTGAGAATAGCAGTTCAATATGTCTTCAATCGTGACGAGTATTCTAAGTTCAACCGTGGGTTTGTTGTGGAACAAGGCTCGCGACTCGACTGCGGCTAAGCTGAAGGACGGCGATATTACAGATGAAAAAATTCGAGAGATTGTCGTACGAGACTTGAACGACATCAAGACGAAGCTCGATGGTCTTTCACGTAAAGATCTTCTCAGCAGCTACAATTTCCTACAGGAAAGTGTGGATTTCCTCAATGTTTCTCTTCAAAAATCAAACCTCGACCAGAAAGCTTTGACGAATGAAACTCAAGATGACCGAGGCGAGACATCAACAATGCCGAGTTGTGATCAGTCTGGGATCTTAAGCGAAGCTATTGAACTTTCTCAAGCCATGGGAAAGCTAAAATGTAACTCAGATGAAAAGTATGAATCCGCCAAAGAACGATTCAAAAAGGCCCGTGAGAGAGCAACCGATGCTTTCGCTACTGAAACATTAGTTCTCAAAGATAGGATCTTCGCAGCGAAGCTACGAATAGTGTCCGAGATGCTGGAATGTCTTGATCGTCCCGAAAACGCAATAATAGGATGTCTGTCGTTTTTGAAAAAGTTCCATAGCTTACCTGCAATCCAAGAGATATTCTCGGTGTACCTCAACGGAGGAGTAAAGTCGATGTTGAATAAGAGCGAACGAGTCGAGAACGTAAAATCAGTAATGCTGATTAATTACGTGTTATTTCAATATGCGTCGAAATTCAAGTTTTCATTTGACTTTCTCTACAGCATGCCAACAATTGAAATTCCTGATCGCAGTTTTTCCCCAGTGTTAGAGTGGCGGGAAGTTGCGACAAGAAAGTCTATGGGGAAAGAACTGACCCAACATCCCAACGAACTGATACTTGATAAAGAAATATTTGCGTATGTATGTGCTGTGAACGGTCATGGGGATGTTATTACTCTTCGTGATTGGAAGTCTGACGAGATCCAGGTTATTTCTTCTAAGACGGCTGAATGCAAGGTGGTTCAATTACCAGACCCCACAGAAGATGAAGTTCTCTCGCAATATATTTTAGGACTTGCTGTTGATAACAATAACAATGTTTACGTTGTTGTATGGCTTACAACACGTACGGAAAATGGCGATGTGAGAAATTTCGTGTTGCGTGTATTAGACGAGAACTACCATGTAAAACACGACTCATGCACGTTGGATTTTATGGAGGTAAGTGTTAGTTTCGTGAGCATCGCTATAAACAAAAGCAATAATATCATCATGATCAAAAACAAAGATCCCCACGTGTATATATGTGACAACACTGGGAAGTTGCAACACAAGTTTGAACATTACTCAAGTGTGGTACCCAGCTTGGGTACTTCCGAGCAGGATAAAATCATCACATCATCAGGCAATCGCAAGGCTATGATCACATTCTCCGAAGAAGGAAATCTGAAGTCGACAGTAAAACTACCAAAAGATCACGAAATCTACAGAATAGCGTATCACTATGGCATTCGTAAAATAATCGTTTTAACCTATGTCAACGATTCCTACTTCCTGCTGTGCTACACTGAAGCAGGCGATCTGGAGACCTCGACGTTCTTGCGTAAGAGAATTGACCAGGAGTATATCAATATCACGTCCCATCCAAGTGGTCCAGTTGCTGTTGTTACGGACAAAAGCATCACCTTTATTTAAGGGAAATGTCTATATTTGTACATGCAGTGTGAACAAAACTTCTTCGAAAAACTGACTTGACACACTTAAGTGATGATTCTAAACTTATTAACTATAATATATGCTAATTGTAAATTTCTGAAATTTGTGAACGTTTGCCGATATATGCCTGTATTCTAAAAGCTCATTCACACTCGAAGAGTGGAGGTTCAATCTGAGCTTCCCTTGAGTGTCAATGCTGTTTTTGAATAGCTGGAGGGTGAGTAGTCACATAGTAAGGTACGACACTAACCCTTCAGCTATTCAAAAAGAGCATTGACACTCAAGGGAAGCTCAGATTGAACCTCCACTCTTTGAGTGTGTCTTTTAGAATACAGGCGAGAAACTTTATGCTTTTGCTTAACAAATGTCAACGTTGATTATTATATACTGAAGTTTATGCAATTCATCGTACATAAAAGCATTAAAAATGCCCTACCTTATCTTCGTATTCTCGAATGATAGCAGCTTTGAGACGACCCATCTCGTTGTGTTCCCCATGGACCAATACCTGAAAATCAATAAACTCATTATTCCCCATCGAGGTTTTCAGTGACCGATTACATCAAGTACTATCACGCTTACTTATATTACCTACTAAGCCTAGACTAGTTATCTTTACAACAATTGTGATATTACCTTCTTAACTGTGTTCATCCTAACCCACCCTGTCAACTTTCCCTGTGGGAGGAGACCGGAGCACCCGGAGAAAACCCACGACTTTCGGCAGAGCGTTGATTGACTCTTTTCACATGGGGAAATATCAAGATTTTGTTGGCATCTCACTCGATTCAATAAGAGTTTAAGGATATTGTAGATGGAAATTATCGAGTGGAAATTGATGTACTGTTTAAAACAGGCAGCAGGAGTTTTTTTATCACATATAAAACAAAAAACACGGACTGCTAGTATTTTAAGTATGTATGGCTTATAGAAACGAACCTTGTGATGAGTTCATTGGCGAAGTAATTTTAAAAATAAACGTTGTCAAGCCGAGAAAATCAAAGCTTAAAGTTTATGTAAATGAACATGATTTTTAATCACATATCAAACCACCGACACGGCAGTGTTTTCACCACTCGAAGATAAAAGTCATATCTTCGCGCCGCCGTGTAATATCCTGTATGTATACTGAAGTTTATGCAATTCATCGTACATAAAAGCATTCAAAATGCCCTACCTTATCTTCGTATTCTCGAATGATAGCAGCTTTGAGACGACCCATCTCGTTGTGTTCCCCATGGACCAATACCTGAAAATCAATAAACTCATTATTCCCCATCGAGGTTTTCAGTGACAGATTACATCAAGTACTATCACGCTTACTTATATTATCTACTAAGCCTAGACTAGTTATCTTTACAACAATTGTGATATTACGTTCCTAACTGTGTTTATCCTAACCCTATCAACTTTCCCTGTGAGAGGAAACCGGAGACAGTTGTTGGAACAGCATTGCGAACAGCTATTGTTGGAACTGCTGCAGGTTTGCTACAAGCTTGTGTGTTTTTACGTCTGTAAAATGGAATTCGCTTGCTCAAATTACACATTTTGAAAAATAGCAATTACACATTCTAAAAAAACTCTGGTTAAAATTTAGGGCCCTTGTTTATTTGTAATTGTATAGATCATGGTATGGTTTCGAGTGCAATTAGGAAAAAACATCACGAGTGAGTTTTTCAAAGATTATCAAATTTGAAGTCTTTGAAAAACTCACGAATGTATGTTTTTTCAAATTGCACGAGAAACCATACTGTTATTTATTAATAATATACATGAAAATATAATTATTGTTATTAAAGTGAAAAAGTCCCTCCTCAATGCTTCTTTTTTTCGCATTATTTCTGCTGAAAATTGCTGTATCTTATTGGCTATCTTTGTTATTGTTTCATATTTTAAGCGAATCAGAAAGCCTAAATAGTTAATAAAATTTGGACTGTATTTCATTTTTCAGCACTGTATTTCGAAAAATTGCATTGCTCTTAGCCAATCAAAATTGAGAATGTTTTCTTTGAATCGAGATCAGTGTGAACAAGGCCTTAATTATTCCTCCTCCTCAAGCGAACTCAGTAGCTCTCAACTATAATCTTACGTACGAACCAAATTGTACATTAAAGCGCACCATAACCTCGATTATTTTTATCATCTCATTCTTAAGAATGAGATGATAAAATCTTAATCATATTTTTATCATCTCATTCTTATAATAAGTTATTTTGAAGATTTTCGTTTGCTCACTTTGTTCTGAGATATTTCAGTTTGTTTGGTATGCAAATATCCGGAATTTACGTTACAAATACATAACGATTTAAAGTAAAAGCTTGTATATCGTATTCACTATCGAGTTTAATTCTTCAAAAGATGAAGTTTGGAGTTGTGGGAGGATTACATACCTATGTAAAACACCATTTAGACTTTTTATTTCATCGGATATTTAACTGTAGATTACATTCTTTGATCAGTCATTATTCATATGATGTGACGTAAATTCCGTACATTTGCATATCAATAAAACTGAAATAACTCAAAGACAAAGTGTCCTCAAAATAAGTTACAATATCATTTCAAAGGTTCTTAGGAATGAGATGTTGAGGTTAGGTGCACTTTTAAAACAAACACGGAGCGATTTCAAAACTTTATAACAGTAAAATAGAACTATTGATGTATTGTAGATTTAGGTAGTTTTCTTCCATTTTTGCTTTGTAATATCTATGTAGACGGCTTCTAAATATGGATATTGAGACGTACAATTTCAGGTCAGCTGGAAGACTATTCCGCAGATTCGCCGACCTAATAAAGAACGAATTTTTAAAGTGGTCTTGTTTATGCTTCAAGAGAAAATTGAAGTTATTTTCGACGTGATTGCGTCGTAATTTATAACCAGATTCGTAGCTACATAAATACTTATTGACGTCCATAGATACAAGCCCCATTTTGGATTTGTATAGTAGTTGCAAGTCAGAGATCTCTTGGCGGAATTCTAGTGGAAGGAGATTCGTTTTAGCCAGCCTTTCTGGATATGACATTTCGGAAGTCTGGATATGACAAGTCGGAAGCTTGGATTTCGGCATGTTGTAAACACAGACTGGACTGGACCCGGAAAACGCGGACTGAGTCCGTGTTTTACAAATCGCGGACTGAATCCATGATTTATATACGATTTATATATGACTGACTCAGCGACAGTGAGAATATCACTGAAGATTAATCGAGTATCGCTTTACAGTTTGGCTTCCTTATCTGTTCATATATATATATATATTCAAAACACTCAAACTCGCGTTCTATAATATGATTCACATCTAAAACGCTCGGCCGCACCTCGCGTTTTAAATAGTACAAATATATATATTTATTTTAATAGTCCAATTAATATACTTTGTTTACAAGGATAACGTAAAATGTGTGGCAGTATGTTTGTCAACCTTCAAATAATCAAGCTTGCTTTACAGTAACAATAAGTTTTAAATAGATATTTCAATATTGAAGGCTAATATCAAGATAAAGCAACTCCGACGGCGACGCCCTAGTAATATACATAGTTGGAAACTTACAACGAAGGATGTGCATGGTATTTAGTCTATGATGACCGCTGTTTTGAATGGACTTACGACTTATTAACATCAGTCGATGACAATTGTTTTAATATATGGACTTCGATGATGGATTCTTGCTCTTCACTTCGTGGAATTATATTAGAATGTTAGGGTTTGTAATCCAAGTGAGAATATATGCATTTTAAGACCTAACCAGGAACGACTGCGAAAAATGCAGCACAAGGTCCTCTGGTAGGAATTGAACCTACGGCCCTGCGATTCCCGTCAGAAAACTATTAAATAATGAGAAAAAAACTGCTTTGACGTTCACTATATTACAACAGTTATGGGACTATCAACTTCGAATATTATAATGTTGTAAACAAGGCATGACGTTTCGTAAAAACATTTCGACTATCATTATTTATTACATCCATTGGCATTCTCGCCAAGAATATAATTGAAACAATCATCAATACATACAGCCATGCATGACATCAGAAATAGTGAAATACAAAATTTACATTTTGAATGACTTTTCATTATACGCTGTAAATTTCTGCAGCTATGCCTGACGAAAAAAACCCGTCAAGATTTGTAATGTGTCGAATGAACTAAAGACAAGTAAGTCTTGTTTGGATAGGCACAAAAAAGGCTGATTCGCAGTCAAGTGTTTTGCACCCGGTGGTATATGAATTTACTTGTACTGGACATATAAAAGTAGATACATCGGTAAAACGGATCGCTGCTTCTACACTAGAATCAAAGAACACTCACTGGACAATAAATCGGAAATACTATGATATTTAATCACATCATGCGAACATTTTCAACATATTTTAGAACTGTATCCTGACGATGAAACTAACCCAACTCCACCTTGTAAGATTACAGACAGATCTGATCATTACATTTTTTAAAGAATCGCTTGCCATTGGCGATGTTTTCAACTTAAACTCAATCACGGAACTATTAAAGGACAATGGCAACGAAAATTTTTATTGGCTATTTCAATCCTACTTGACGACTTAACTATGAAAATATTATCATTTCCTTCTCGAACATTTTAGTCTACGAGAAAAATGCATGCATGCAAACTTTGTGTTTCGCCGGCATCTTGGAAAATATTTTTGAAAAATTATCTCGAACTTCGTGACGTCATTAGATGGGTAGCACCAAAAAGCGCGTGTTATGTTAGCTAAAAATATGTCGTTTTTGAGCGTTATACTGGCCAACACTCTTCGCAATCAAACAAGAGAAGTCTACACAATCAGATAAAAACATATCGAGCGACTGGGAAAGCTTGGAATGGCGCAATTTACAATACAGGTAATTGACAATACAGGTAGTTTTAATGGAACTGTAGATTCTGTTTATCGTCCACCGCCCGCATGTGCTTGCAACTACCGCAAGAATGTTTCATTATTCTTAATTATTTTCATTATTTGTCATTATTTTTAATTCTACGCATCGAAACTTTCAAATATACATCAAATCATCAAATCTTCGATATAAAAAGCCGTACATCGCTGATATAATGATGTATGATGGATCAGTCGGCATTCGTTCGGTACACTCGGAAATTTGCGAGTCTGACATGTGCAAATTCGAAAACAATGGCGTGACAAAGAAATTTTCAGCAAAGGAAAGCCCAAAATGATAAAAGAATGCTGGACAAAAGTGTTGATGGTCGAGATCAAAAGAAAACGATTTAAGGATCATTTTTGGTTGGAAAATAGATAATAACAAAAATAATGAAAAATGAATAATAAAAAAAACCCGCATCAGATTTTTTAAATTCTCGGACGATAAACAGAATCTACAGTTCTTGTGTTTACCTATCTAATGACGTCAGGTAATGTATGTTGTGGCATAAATTAGCATACCCGTTTATTTTTTAATTTTCTCACCAATTAAACGCGACAAACCGGCAAAAATATAAGATTAAATATTCCATAAGTATACTTAATAGATATAAGTAATAAAAATTTTGGTTGCCAATGTCCTTTAGGCGCCAAAAGTAAATATAATCTCTTCCATATGTTTGTAAAAAAAGTATCAAATTACTTTAATCTTCACCTATAAATATCATCGTTATGTAACCTAGCATACCTTATTATAGGAAATTAACGATGCACTTTATTAACGCGACATAAATTAACGCGACATCAAATTAACGCGGATTGCTTCTAGGTCTTTTAAAGCATGATTATATTAACGCGAATCTGATCTCCATAGTTGACAAATTAATTAAATTAACGCGAATCGGAAAATATAGACACAACAACAACAACAAAGGTTTAATGTTAAGAGGAGCACTGATGTTTTTAGTTTACGTTAATATGCTGTATTTTGATATTAAAAGAGTTAGTGTTATATAAAACAAATCTAGGTATTTTTAACTAACGATAAATGAAAATTACATACTTAAAATTAATTTAACGATCACATAAATTAACATTAATTAAATTAACGCGAATTTTTAAAATCCGCGTTAATAAAGTGCATCGTTAATTTCCTATAATAAGGTAATTCCTGATAACGACTAACACATAGTCGAAAGCTAGAACTAAAAATATTCCTTTTCGGAGTTACATACTGTTGTTTTGTAAAAATACTCAGTGGTTCGATATAAATACTAAATATTAAAATGTGTATACACGTGATAGTTTCCACTTTCGTCTGCCAATATTGACTGTGTATTGAGCAGGGCTCAAGTGGCAGGGCTAGTCAAGTGGCAGGAAAACATACTATAGACATTATATTCATACATTCACTATATATTCATAATACTTGTAAATTTCACAGTATATCTGGTTATCTTTCATGAGTAAATATGCTTGGGCATATTGTCTATTTAGTTTAAGTTCAGTATCGCTTTGTTGTTTGAGAATAGCAGTTCAATATGTCTTCAATCGTGACGAGTATTCTAAGTTCAACCGTGGGTTTGTTGTGGAACAAGGCTCGCGACTCGACTGCGGCTAAGCTGAAGGACGGTGGTGTAACAAATGAAAAAATTCGAGAGATTGTCGTACGAGACTTGAACGACATCAAGACGAAGCTCGATGGTCTTTCACGTAAAGATCTTCTCAGCAGCTACAATTTCCTACGGGAAGGTGTGGATTTCCTCAATGTTTCTCTTCAAAACTCAAAGCTCGACCAGAAAGCTCTGGCGAATGAAACTCAAGATGATCGAGGCGAGACATCAACAATGCCGAGTTGTGATCAGTCTGGGATCTTAAGCGAAGCTATTGAACTTTCTCAAGCCATGGGAAAGCTAAAATGTAACTCGGACGACGAGTATGAATCCGCTAAAGAACGATTCAAAGATGCCCGTAAGAGAGCAACCGATGCTTTCTCTACTGAAACATTAGTTCTCAAAGATATGATCTTCGCCGCTAAGCTACGAATAGTGTCCGAGATGCTGGAATGTCTTGATCGTCCCGAAACCGCTATAACAGGATGTCTGTCATTTTTAAAAAAATTCCATAGCTTACCTGCAATTCAAGAGATATTCTCGGTGTACCTCAACGGAGGAATAAAGTCGATGTTGAATAAGAGCGAACGAGTCGAGAACGTAAAATCAGTAATGCTGATTAACTACGTGTTATTTCAATATGCTTCGAAATTCAAGTGTTCGTTTGACTTGCTCGTCAGCATGCCATCAATTGAACTTCCTGATCGCAGTTTTTCCCCAATGTTAGATTGGCGGGAAGTTGCGACAAGAAAGTCTATGGGGAAAGAACTGACCCAACATCCCAACGGACTGATACTTGATGAAGAAATTGAGCCGGATGTATGTGCTGTGAATGGTCATGGGAACGTTATTACTCTTCGTTATATCTATTCTGACGAGATCCTGGTTATTTCTTCTAAGACAGCTGAATGCAAGGTGGTTCAATTACCAGACTCCAGAGAAGGTAAAGTTCTCAAGCAATATATTGTAGGACTTGCTGTTGATAACAATAACAATGTTTACGTTGTTGTACGACTTAATACAACATGTACGGAAAATGGCGTTGTGACAAATTTCGTGTTGCATGTATTAGACGAGAACTACCATGTAAAACACGACTCATGCACGTTGGATTTTATGGACGCAAATTTTGTTTCCTGAGCATCGGTATAAACAAAAACAATAATATCATCATGATCAAAGGAGAAGATCCCCACGTGTATATATGTGACAACACTGGGATGTTGCAACACAAGTTTGAACATCACTCAAGTTGGCGACTCAGCTTGGGTATTTCCGAGCAGGATAAAATCATCACACTATCAGACGATGGCAAGGCTATGGTCATATTCTCCGAGGAAGGAAATTTGAAGTCGACAGTAAAACTACCAGAAGGTCACGAGATCTTTGGAGTAGCGTATCATTATGCCATTCGTAAAATAATTGTTTTAGCCTGTTCAGACAAAAACAATTCCTACTTCCTTCTGTGCTACACTGAAGCAGGCGATCTGGAGACCTCGACGTTCTTGCGTAAGAGAATTGACCAGGAACGTATCAATATCACGTCCCATCCAAGTGGTCCAGTTGCTGTTGTTACGGACAAAAGCATCACCTTTATTTAAGGGAACTGTCTATGTTTGTACATGCAGTGTGAACAAAACTTCTTCGAAAGACTGACTTGACACACTTAAGTAATGATTCTAAACTTATTAACTATAATATATGCTAATTGTAAACTTCTGAAATTTGTAATGGTTTGAGCGACATAAACTTTTGAACGTTTGAGCGACATAAACTTTATGTTTTTGCTTAACAAATGTCGACGTTTATATCACATATAACACGAATAATTATATAATATAATTTTTAAGAAAAAATGATGACATCTATGTTTTTCTCATTGCATCTGCATGCAAAAGATTCAGTCCTTCGAATCACCCCCAAAGTTTAACATAGAGGATTAATGACAAAAATAGCATTGGCTATCTACGAAGTGCGTTTTTTATGTTAAATGAGAATTATGGCAAATGAGAGCAAAGATTTAACATCAAACCATAGGTAAATGTCTATTTTCACTTGATACAGACCACTAAATTATGTGTGCATGCAGAAGATATTTTTTCCCTTCATCTACTATGTTGTAGAATGATATTGACACATCTGTATATATACTCTTGATTCAGTTATTACACTGGCCGTAAGGCCCAGTCTTAAGGTTCCCTAATTTTCTTTGCGAAAATTCTTCGTTTTTTTCTTCGTCAACGTGAAATCGACCAACGTTCATGAAATGAATCGCTGACTTGCAATGGATCGCGGGCTCAAGTCAAAATGGCCGCCAGGTAAAGAGCGGACTGACTGTGCAATAGGATTTTTTGTCTTGTTTGTTTATAGTATTGATATAGTGTTCTTTGAATTTTGAAACTTAGCATACTCAAATGTTTCTGGTATATTACCTGCGTATTTGTTGAACTCATAGCCTGTCTAAGGACGTTTTAAAATCCTTAAACGTTTGTGACTTGGCGCCTTCGGTTTGTTTACTATATATCGTTTGTTTACCCATCTCTAGCCTGGCATAAATATACATGTAAGTGTTATTCAAACTGTTCTACCAACTGTTCTACCCTTACACTCCAGCACGCATTATAAGGTCAGTGTGAACGCCTGAGCAGACGTCTCGTTTTATTTAAAAAACAGTTGTTTAGTATTTTTGATGTTCCACAACATAACATGTTCTTTAATTTTTCTCTTGATAGATATTCTTCTATATCATTCATACACGTTTACGTTTGAATGTTTGTGCCCTTAATTATTATCTATTTAAAATTGGGTGGAAACCATCTCCGGAATGTTTTTGTGGCTTTGAAATTGAAAGTATTAATAACAATTTTCTACATTGTCCGTTGTTTGCTGCTCCAAGATTGAAACTCCTTTCCTCTGCTGCTTATATTTTTGCCGATAGATGACACGCAATGACTGAATTGCATCTCATAAGGATTTCCTTATCTGGATCTTCTCAACCCTCACAACACAATATTTATATTTTCTATAATGTTCAAAGTTTTATTAAGGAAACTAGTCGAGTTACCCATGTTGAACCTTAATATTGCATGATTCCAGTTATGATTCCAGTTATGCTCGCAAGCAATATGGACTATGACTGTAGTTGTTCTATGTGATACGACCAAACACAACGCAAACATATGTCATATTGTCATATTTCACAACCGACATTACAATTAGTTTAGACGGGCGTTTAAAGCTATATTTGACACGAATACAGTTCCAGTACATATATCCACCGGAACATGAAAACATCATGTTTTTGATGTTGTCTCTGAGTGTGCGCACACCGGGCAAGCTGAAAAGTTTGCTTGACCGCGGTGGGAATCGAACCCACAACCTTTGGTTCACTAGTCCAATGCTCTACCAACTGAGCTACGAGATCAAGTCGGTTTCAGTGGGTGATATTTCGAAACTCATTCTAGTTCCTTCGATATCAGTGTGTCTTTCTTCACTCTACTAGGGAATACTTATATATGTATATACATTAACAAAATAACTATGAACTACAGGGTGTCCCCAAAAAAGTGACACTATAAGAAATTATCCTATTGTTATAATTTGAATGCCCTAGCACTAAGTTGACCCCACAGGTGCATAAACTTCTGCTTCTGGAATTTAAAATAAAAAAGCAAACCGTTTATTAGTGTAATTGTTTTGCTTGACTCGGGCGTTAAAATATTTGGACAAAGCGAAAACGTTTTAAAATTCTTAAATGTAAATACAAGTTCATTAAATTCCCAGGCGTGTAATCACGCGCCTTTAAGAGCGGCTTAAGAACAATGAGATAATTTCTATAGTGTCACTTTTTTTGGGGACACCCTGTATATATGAAAAACTTTAAATGGTAAAAATGTACAATAATAGTGTCATGCCATTTAAAAGCGTTGATACTCATAGGCAGTTCGTTAAAAGCCAATTTCCACAAACTAGATTTATTTCATCTTATGACAAATTCTGCGTGTTACAAGTAGCAACATGCATACAACATGTTTTATGAACTACACGGCTCACATAAATAACCAAGCCAATTATTGCAAAATTGGGGCATTTTAATTTAGCGTGTATTTGAGATGCACCCGAGCGCAGGTTCATAGCCTGAATAACGGGTGTTCAGATCTTCATTTACTGCTATGAGACAACGTGACGTATTGTTTTGGCTCAAGAGTCCGGACGTATGAGCTCATGTGATGCTCAGTTTGACACTAGGATTACTTTAGCTCACAAAATCAATGCATGTGACCAGACTCGATTTTGTGTTTAGAGGGGGGTAATGGGTGAATATAAACAGTCTGTACTAGGCGGTGTGTTCACCTATTTGTTTACAATTGCGTCGATGTTCATGATTTATATAAACTTTGAAACCTCCGTTCCCCAATCAAAACATAGCTAAAATCCAGAAACAAAATTAATGGAATATATTGTCCAGAAACGAGAAATAACCGTCTTTAAATACAGCTGAAAACGGAGAACGGATATTGAATACACCGCAAGCACGATACACGGCATCCATGTCGGGATCGAAAAACGTTTAATAAAAAGATGACTGAACGAAGAACGAATAATTAAATTACCCCAATAAGCAGCACGAAAATACCCCATTACCCCCCTCTGTTTACAACAGACAATGAGAAATACAATTGTGAAGCCCTTTCGCATTGATATATTAAAGCATAAACATATTATTTATTACCAGTTCATCTGCTTTATGCATTGAAACACGAGCGCTTATATATGAAATTTTAAAAACTGTACCAAATACCCAAACAAGGAATCTTTAAACATTAGATTTCTGCTTTAGGTTTTAATACGAAGACATAGGTATATTACATTTATATGACGCTCGGCAATATTTGCATCAAGTGCCAAGCGTAGTGGTTTGTAGTTGGTACGCTACGACAAACCACTCTGTTATAGTGTACACGCAATACTAAGAAACGAAGTGAATTTTTAACGGAATGCTAGCCGTATAGTATTCACAGTACACTACAACAATTGTTGACCTTACGCAATTCCAAGTGAAAGATCATATTACAGAAGTGTATCAAAATGTGTATACATCATAATATTGACTATATTGAGCTAGATTTTCAGTTAAGTTGAAATATATAGTAAAGTACGATTAAAATTCATGAAAATACGAATTTCAAAACGTTTCAAAAATAATCACACAATTTTTGGTTGCTCTCTTTGGATAAATTTCGCCTTGAAATCGCAGGAAATGGCCATCACGATTTACGGACACTAGAATGTATCAAATTGCAATCTGTCAAGTGACAGGAAGAACATACCATAGGTATTACATCATATAGACTATATATTCATAATACTTGGAAAATTCACAGTATAGCTGGCTATCTTTCGTGAGTAAATGTGCTTGGGCATATTGTCTATTTAGTTTAAGTTCAGTATCCCTTTGTTCCTTGAGAATAGCAGTTCAATATGTCTTCAATCGTGACAAGTATTCTAAGTTCAACCGTGGGTTTGTTGTGGAACAAGGCTCGCGACTCGACTGCGGCTAAGCTGAAGGACGGCGATATTACAGAGGCAAAAATTCGAGAGATTGTCGTACGAGAGTTGAACGACATCAAGACGAAGCTCGATGGTATTTCACGTAAAGATCTTCTCAGCAGCTACAATTTCCTACAGGAAGGTGTGGATTTCCTCAATGCTTCTCTCCAAAAATCAAAGCTCGACCAGAAAGCTTTGACGAATGAAACTCAAGATGATCGAGGCGAGACATCAACAGTGCCGAGTTGTGATCAGTCTGGGATCTTAAGCGAAGCTATTGAACTTTCTCAAGCCATGGGAAAGCTAAAATGTGGCTCAGACGAAGAGTATAAATGCGCTAAAAAGCGATTCAAAGATGCCCGTAAAAGAGCAACCGACGCTTTCTCTACTGAAACATTAGTTCTCAAAGATGTGATCTTCGCCGCGAAGCTACGAATGGTATCCGAGATGCTGGAATGTCTTGATCGTCCCGAAACCGCAATAACAGGATGTCTGTCATTTTTGAAAAAGTTCCATAGCTTACCTGCAATTCAAGAGATATTCTCGGTGTACCTCGACGGAGGAATAAAGTTGATGTTGAATAAGAGCGAACGAGTGGAGAACGTGAAATCAGTAATGCTGCTTAACTACGTGTTATTTCAATACGTGTTGAAATTCAGCAGTAAGTGTTGGTTTGAGTTGCTCGTCAGCATGCCAACAATTGAACTTCCCGATCGCAGTTTTTCCCCAATAGCAAATTGGCTGGAGGTTGCGACAAGAAAGTCCATGGGAAAAGAACTGACCCAACATCCTAGTAGTAGTAGACAGATACTAGTTGATGAAGGAATTGATCCGTATGTAGTGCTGTGAATGGTCATGGGGACGTTATTACTCGAGCTATTCCTCATCATGACGAGATCCAGGTTATTTCTTCTAAGACAGGTGAATGCAAGGTGGTTAAATTACCAGACCCCAGAGGTGAAGTTTTCGAGCAAGATATTGTAGGACTTGCTGTTGATAACAATAACAATGTTTACGTTGTTGCACTGCTTACAACACATATGGAAAATGGCAATGTGAAAAGTTTCGTGTTGCATGTATTAGACGAGAACTACCATGTAAAACACGACTCACGCACGTTGGATTTTATGGAAGCAAATGGTTTTTGTTTGGTGAGCATTGCTATAAACAAACACAATAATATCATCATGATCAAAGGCAATGATCCCCACGTGTATATATGTGACAACACTGGGATGTTGCAACACAAGTTTGAACATGACTCCGGTTGGCTACCCAGCTTGGGTATTTCCGAGCAGGATAAAATCATCACATCATCAGACAATCTCGGGGCTATGGTCACATTCTCCGAGGAAGGAAATCTGAAGTCGACAGTAAAACTACCAGAAGGTCACGAGATCTTTGCAGTAAGGTATCACTATGTCATTTGTAAAATAATTGTTTTAACCTACCTCAACAAAAACGATTCCTACTTCCTGCTGTGCTACACTGAAGCAGGCAATCTGGAGACCTCGACATTCTTCCATAAGAGAGACAAGGACCATATCAATATCAGGTTGCATCCAAGTGGTCCAGTTGCTGTTGTTATGGAGAAAAGCATCACCTTTATTTAAGGGAACTGTCTATGTTTGTACATGCAGTGTGAACAAAATTCTTCGAAACACTTAGATGACACATTTAGGTATGCCCTAATATTCTAAATTTATTAATATATGCTAATTGTAAACTTCTGAAATTTGAAATTGTGAGCGTTTGAGTGACATAAACTTTCTGTTTTTGCTTAACAAAAAAGGCTCATTCACACTCAAAGAGTGGAGGTCCAATCTGAGCTTCCCTCGTGCGTCAATGCTGTTTTTGAATAGCTGGAGGGTGAGTAGTCACATAGTAAGGTACGACACTAACCCTCCAGCTATTCAAAAACAGCATTGACACTCAAGGGAAGCTCAGATTGAACCTCCACTCTTTGAGTGTGAGTGAGCTTTTAAAATAAAGGCGATAAACTTTATGCTTTTGCTTAACAAATGTCAACGTTTATTATTATGTACTGAAGTTTTTGTAATTCATCATACATAAAAGCATTCAAAATGCCCTACCTTATCTTTGTATTCTCGAATGATAGCCGCTTTGAGACGACCCATCTCGTTGTGTTCCCCATGGACCAATACCTGAAAATCAATAAACTCATTCCTCATTGAGGTTTTCAGTGACTGATTACATCAAGTATTACCCTTACTTATATTACCTACAAAGCCTAGACTATTTATGTTTACAACAATTGTATTATTACTTTCTTAACTGTGTTTATCCTAACCCACCCTGTCAACTTTCCTTGTTGGAGGAAACCGGAGCGCCCGGAGACAACCCACGACTTTCGCCAGAGCATTGACGGACTCTTTTCCATTAGGCCAAATAAAAAAATATGTGGGTTTCCGGTTTCCCGACCCTACCTAGCTTTTGGACGTCGAAATCCTGACCCTAAACTTTTTATTGGATCACGTTTGTAAGCGTTTCCACTTAGAGCAAAACGTTTGTGGAAAATGAAAATTTGAGGCAATATTAGGGAAATTTATGTTTGGATGTGGAAGCACTGACTAAACAAAATGGCATCCGGTTGTTAGGAAAATTAAAAAAAAAGTTAAAAAAAAAGAACTTAAGGTTACAGGACACCCTTTTTGGCGTTTTGCGGAAAATCGCTACTGCGCGCTCAATATCAGTCCGATGTTCATCCAATTTTCACCAAATGTTCTCCAGTGCATGCAAAATATGGTAAAGTTGTAAAATTAACAAACAATAAAATAATGTTAGAATTATTCAGGAAAATCTTAAATCGCGGTACCTTTACGCTTTTGAGTTGTGCTCCTGCTGGTTTTAAGTTATATTTATGAAAATATCATTTTTATACAGTAAAATAGTTGTTCTAAAAAATTGTGTTCGGAAATTTTTGTTTATTTCGTCGTTCCGCTGATATGGCGATTTCTTTGACGACTGCAATATATTTCTGAATTGTTTGAGTGAATTGCTCTTTATTTTTAAAATATCCAAAATTAAAAAAAAGCCGAACACAATTTTGAAACTGACGTATTTAGCTATGTCCTGTGAAAATTTGAGAAAAATTGGTTAAAACCCGCAGGAGCACATCTCGTTTGAAAATCAGTAATTACCGTAAACTTTTTCGTGAGAAAATTGAATTTGAATATTACATTTTCAATGTTTTTCTTTATTGCGGCGAAATGTATTTTATTAAATAACTCTGCAAGTTTTCAACATTTTTCATTCAAACTTGGTCAGGTAGTAGAACTAGTCTAATGCTTTCATTGAAACCAATAAAAAATTTTTAGGCAAAATTAACACTCAAAGGTGTTCTGTAACCTTAAAACTGACCTACCCTACCTAAGTTTTTACAAGAGGGAACCAGAAACCCACATTTTTTTTTTGGCCTTAGTAAATATTAAGATCTTGTTAGCATCTCACTCAATTGAATAAGAGTTGAAGGATGTTGTAGATGGAAATTATCGAGTGGAAATTTATGTACTATTTAAAACATGCATAGGAGTGTTTTATCATATTTTGAAATACGAGTGCACAGCACGAGCATTTTAGATATGATAAAACATGACTACAAGAGTTTTGAATAGCTTGAAACATGGGTACAACAGGATGGACTTTTATATAAAAAATACTAATTAAGATGAGTTTTATCAGGTTTAAAGCCTCTTCACGTGACATATTATGGTTGACATGATTTGCCAATAAGCTTATGAATTATTAATGATGTTTGAAATACATTTATTCAACCAAACCAAGAACAGCTATGAAAAATGCAACTTAAAGGTCCCTGACAGGAATCAAACATGCAGCCCTGCGATTCATGTGCTTAGGGCGCTTCGATTCCTGTCAGGGACTTTAAAGTTGCATTTTCCGCTTCTGTTCCTGGTTAGGTTTAATAAATGTACATAAATTTCCACTCAATAATTTCCATCTACAATGCCCTTCAACTCTTTTCACATGAGTCCGTTGCGAGAATCGAACCCACGATCTCAGAGGTAAAAGTCTCTTGATCTAACGACTGTGCCACCGAAGTGCTAACAAGTTGTTGGAACAGCATTGTCACAACTTCCTAACAAGCTTGCTACAAACCTGTTGAGGAAATATCTTGTTGACAAGTTGTTGGAACAGCATTGTCACAACTTATTAACAAGCTTGCCACAAGCCTGTTGAGGATATATCTTGTTGAGGATACATCTTGTTGATACAAGCCTGTTGACGAGACATCTTGTTGACAAGTTGTTGGAACAGCATTGTCACAACTTGTTAACAAGCTTGCTACAAACCCGTTGAGAAAATATCTGGTTGACAAGTTGTTGGAACAGCATAATCACAACTTGTTAACAAGCTTGCTACAAGCCTGTTGAGAAAATATCTTGTTGACAAGTTGTTGGAACAGCATTGTCACAACTTATTAACAAGCTTGCCACAAGCCTGTTGAGGATATATCTTGTTGAGGATACATCTTGTTGATACAAGCCTGTTGACGAGACATCTTGTTGACAAGTTGTTGGAACAGCATTGTCACAACTTGTTAACAAGCTTGCTACAAACCCGTTGAGAAAATATCTGGTTGACAAGTTGTTGGAACAGCATAATCACAACTTGTTAACAAGCTTGCTACAAGCCTGTTGAGAAAATATCTTGTTGACAAGTTGTTGGAACAGCATTGTCACAACTTATTAACAAGCTTGCCACAAGCCTGTTGAGGATATATCTTGTTGAGGATACATCTTGTTGATACAAGCCTGTTGACGAGACATCTTGTTGACAAGTTGTTGGAACAGCATTGTCACAACTTGTTAACAAGCTTGCTACAAACCCGTTGAGAAAATATCTGGTTGACAAGTTGTTGGAACAGCATAATCACAACTTGTTAACAAGCTTGCTACAAGCCTGTTGAGAAAATATCTTGTTGACAAGTTGTTGGAACAGCATTGTCACAACTTATTAACAAGCTTGCCACAAGCCTGTTGAGGATATATCTTGTTGAGGATACATCTTGTTGATACAAGCCTGTTGACGAGACATCTTGTTGACAAGTTGTTGGAACAGCATTGTCACAACTTGTTAACAAGCTTGCTACAAACTTATTGCAAACACATCTTGTTGACAAGTTGTTGGAACAGCATTCTCACAACTTGTTAACAAGCTTGCTACAAGCCTGTTGCAAATACATCTTGTTGACAAGTTGTTGCAACAGCATTGTCGCAACTTGTTAACAAGCTTGCTAAAAACCTATTGCAAACTTGAGGTACGAACTGCCAATTCAATTTAAATTTCATGCACGGACAGACATTCAGCTGAAATTGCTGTCTGAAAATTCAGCGAAACTTTTACTAAATACAGTCTGGCCGAAACACGTGTGCAGGTGTGCATATTAAACATGAGAATTTAGATTTTTCTTACGTTCCAAAACGCTGACATTTTCATATCGTAATTCCTATTAAGCAAATCCATATTCTAAAGTTTAAAAGAGGGAAAAATTTCATCGAAACAAAGATCAGCATACTTACATAGGTGTTTATATCCTCATGAATACATCGCTCTCTTCTGCAGATTCCGCCATCTTGTTTGTGTTTAAATCAAATATTTTTTTGACGTAATCACGTGATAAGTCTTCTGTGTAGTGATTGGTCAACATTCGAGAATCTTCAAGATGATTGGTTGAAAAAGCAAGAACCAGGGGAGAAGGAAGTACTGTCGAAATTTTATTTTCTCTCCCGGGGGG